GATGATAATGAGGAGGAGGAGGAGGAGGAGGAGGACGAGGGAGGAGGAGGAGGAGGAGGAAGAGGAGGAGGAGGGGGAGGAGGAGGAGAAAGAGGAGGAGGAGAAGGAGGAGTAGGGGGAGGCGGAGGGAGAGCCGAACCGGGAGAAGCCCTTGAATCATTCGCAGCAGCAGGAACAAGAGAAGGAGGAGGAGAATGAGGAGGAGGAGGAGGAGGAGGAGGAGGAGGCAGAGGAGCCGAGGGCGGGGGCTGTGCGGAGGAGGGAGGGACGCGGAGGGGAGGAAAAGGAACACCGAGGACAGGGGGCTGAGGAGAGAAGGATACCGGCGTCGTTTTTGAGCTTCCCCCACCCGACGCCGCTCTCGAAGCTCGCGCCTCCGCCGATGGCGCCGCGGAAGCCGCCGCCGAAGGCCGCCGACGGCCGCCGGACTGAAGGCCGCCACCGGATGGGGCCATTGGCCTGTGACGTGCGCGCCGCGTCGCAAATGTCCGACGTCGTGGGTGTCCTGGCCTCCCGCCGGGGCGCGAGGCTATAGCCGCGCCTCGCGCGTGGCGGTTCTGGGGCCCTGAAGGTGCTGGCCTCTCGCCAGCCGGCGGGCGCACGGGGCGGCGGCGCGGGGCCGCGGAAGCCTTCGCGGGCGCGGGGCGGGGCAGGCGCAAGAGGGGGCGCGGGCGCGGGGCGGCGCGGGCGCAAGGGGGGGGCATCGCGTGGCATGGCGCGTGGAAGCTTTGCCTGGCCGCCCCGCCCTCTTGCCATTCGCGCGGCGCCTCCCGGCCGCGGGCGCTCTCGCGGGCGGCGGAGGGCGTTTCCCCGACCGGGTGGCCTCCGACATGGGGCCCTAAACGTCCAGGCCGAGGACCGTGTGCACGGGGGGCCCTGCTCGCGGGCTGGGCGGTTGTTCGGCCTCTGACTTGCGATGTCCAGCTTTCGACCCGCGCGCGCAGCGGGTGGCTGAGCGCAGCAAAGGGATTGCATGCCATGCCGCTGTGTGGAACCCAAGAGTGATGGGCCAGTCTTCCACCATCACCACCACCATAAGTTGGAGGGGGGGAGGAGGTGGAGGACGAGGAGGAGGAGGGGGGCGAAGAGGAGGAGGAGGAGGAGGAGAACCCCCTCCCCCTCCAACTTAATTATGGTGGTCGTGGTGGGAAACAGGCCCATCAAAGAGGCGTCAACGGGTCCACGTCTGGACCCCCATGCGATTCTGTCGCAGCAGGGGCACGGCGAGGGATGGGTAGGCTCAAGAAGGGACGCAGCGGCCCCCAATTCGCCCACTCCTCGCCGATAGGGGCCTGATCACTCACCCCGCCCAGGAAAGTGCGGATTCGCTAGCGAGGGGCTATCGCCGACCTAGCAGCGATGTGTCGCCGAGTCCAGCTGGATTCAAGCAGGGTCGAAGCGTCGTGGCGTGCCTATAGGCCTACAAAACAATGTTCCAGAATCTTGTGTGGTTTCCACGATTGGTTCTTAGAAAATGTCTGGCTGGGACTGTCTTGTTTTAACACGTCGGGTTTATGTTCTAAGAACGTTGTTTTTATTCGATCGGAGGTTGATAGACCTCCTACCCTGACACGTCGATTAAGGAATTGGCCGTTTTCGGTTCGCGAGAGGGCGTCGCGGCCGTCATTTTTGCGCTTCCAGGTCCGTCGGTTTCGACCCCAGGCCGTTTTCACTAAGGGGAGGGCCTACAGCAATGCCGGGACGGTCGGTCCCTCCCTGCTCAACGGATGCTTCTCCCCTGAGCCGGCCCCTCCCATAACCCTGCTCTCATCACAGCGCGAACCCCAGACCAGGGTTCGGGCTCAGCGGTGTTCTGGCGACTTCGTGGGCCGTTGTCGTTCTGAGTTCTCTTGGCAGCAGCGGCGGAACGAAGACACAACAAGGCAAAGCGGCTGCAAAACGAAAGCGGGAAACACTGCTCAGCTCGAGACCTGGCCAGGAGCCAGGAGGCCCTGTCCCGTGAAGGCATCCCTCGATCCCACATACCGCGAGTTCCCGTTTAGCCTGGCCGCGGGGTAGGCCCCAGTCTATCTGAATGGCTAACTCATGCGGCGGATTTTTGCCCATCTGGATGGGTCTTGGCCGTGGATGTCAAAGAACACAACTCATTCCGAGCCACGTCGTGGCGGTCCTGGGGCCCCGCGAGGGCGAGGCCCAGAGAGACTGGGCGAGCACCTCCCGCCGCGATCTCCTCACGCCGTGATGTCGTTCTTTTTCAAGCAGTGGCGCAGCGCCCCGGCTCCCCTTTGGCCCTACCAAAGAATGTTCGAAGAACCTTTTGTGGTTTGCAAGAAATGTTCGTGGAACATGTCTGGCTGAGCCTGTCTTGTTTCAGCACTTCTGGTTTCTGTTATAAGAACATTGTATGCGTTCTTGGAACATTTCTGGGTTCTAAGAAAATTTCGTGGTAGGCCTTGAGAAATCCTGGGACGGTGGGTCCCTGATCCACTTTTATCGGCTCCGGGGATGACACGTGTTACCCCCCCAGATCCTCTCCCCCCCAGCAATTGTAACGCTAGGGAACCGGCCACACGGCCACAGGCGTGAGTCTTTTCAGTTTCCACCGGGTTTTCGAGGCGTCCTCATGGGGAGGAGGAGGGGGGAGGAGAAGGTCAGGAGGTGGAGGAGGACAACGACGACCGACGCGGCCCGGCCGAAGGTGCAGGCATTGTCGTCGTCGCCGATGGCGTCGTCTTCGTCGTCGTGAATGTCGTCGTTGTCGTCATCGTTGCAGCGTTTCTCCTCTCCGTGTCGTCGTCTTCATTGTATTGCAAGATGTTTCGCGCAAGGGCTATGGTCTCGACAGGCGCTGTGCTGTGGTGCACACAAGCGCTCTGGTGCACGCATGCATTGATGCACGGCCACCATATGGTGCACACGGCTGCTGTGATGTGCGCAGGCGCCGTGGTGTACATAAACGGTCCAGCGCACGCAAACACAGTGGTGTGCAATGGGGCTGTTACGCACACGGGTGCTGAGGTGCGCAGAGGCGCTACGGTGTACACAGGCGATGTGGCGCCATGGTGCGGGCAGGTGAGGGTGAACACAGGCACTATGGTGTACACAGGCGCTGTGGTGCACGCAGGCGTTTTCGTACATACACCTATGTTACGCTGGTGATGCAGGCGCGCCTTCGGGGGTGCACGCCAGCCGCCGTCACCGTCCCCCCCTCGCCGAACCACCCCAGGTAACATGTGTTACCCCCATTGGATAAAATAGCGATCTCTGTGGGGAGCCGCGGGTTCGAGGGTCAAAATCGATCCCCAGATCGGTCCTTCTAGGCATCCCATACGGGGTCCGAGTAAATGTGATCGGAGGATTGCGCTGCGTCTCCGATGCATCGGCGATGCGGCTCGATGCGGAGCCCGATGCATCGGCGATGCGGCTGACGTTGCCGATGTACCGCCGATGCATCGATGGTGCATCGACGATGCGGCGCGATCGTCCGACCCCATCCGCTCCGACTCCGTCTGGGAGGCCTCTGAAGATCTACCCGCAGATGTGTCCTCGGGTGGCGCCCGAGCCAGAATTTCCGAGGCGGATCCAGCCGTGGCCGCGAGGCCGCGTGGCCGCGAGTCCGATGCTCGAGGGTTGATCCTCGAAGTTCGAGATTCGATCGAAGGAAACAATTAGTGGGCACTCCTCCCTTTCCCCAAAATTCAAAGTTGGCACGTGCGGAGGAGTGCAACTCATCAGACCCACCGCCAACTTTGAAACTTGGGGGGAGGAGGCGGCGTTGACCGATGAATGTGGCATGAGTGTTCGCTTTTTTTCCGAGGCCTTTCCGATCCCTCTTCCTCAGGATGCAACACGGGGCGTTCTCGTTGCCGGGGACCGTCACGACCCCCCGGGGCTTCGTGCCGCCGCCTGGACCCGAAGAACACCAGGCGCGCCCCCCTGCGGCGACGACGATCGACGATCGATCGAACGATCGCCGACGCAGACGACGAGCATCTTCGAAGAGCCGAGACAAAGACGAATAAAGAAAACAAGGAGGCGACGACGTCGATCAACGATCAACGACGATGACGGTGAGGATCAAGGATCGACGGTCGACCGTTGATGATCCACGATCGACAATGACAACGATGGTGACGACGGCCACGACGACGACGATCGAGGATACAGGATAGAGGGTCGACAACGGCGGCGAGCAGATGCGACGGTGACGTTTTCGAAGATGATCGCCGATCGACGGCGATCTAGGATCTTTTTTATTTGTGTTCTCTTTTAGAAGTTAGTCTTCTCTTTATGCTCATCCTTTTCTCAATTCTTCTCTCTCTTTGCATTTTTTTTTTCTTTCCCTTTTGTAGTACGCCTAACTTATATTTCCATTTACTCCCTATGTCAATTTACTACACACCCCCCCCCCTATTATTCTCTTTCTCCGTTTGTTTTCTCCTCTCTATCTCTTTCCTCTTTTCTGGCGATCTAGGATCGACGACGACGAAGGCTTGCGACGGTGTGGTGATTTTTTCGTGCTCAGGGGTACTTCCCAACAGCTGTGCTTCGTCAAGAGCGTTCTGGGAAGCCCACAGCGGTGGTTTCCTTGGCGGGACACTCGTGTCTGCCGAAATGGTACATTGGAGCTTTGCGCAACCACTGGTTTCAGCTGCAGGTTGCCAGCCGCAGCCTGTGGCGCCACCTGTGGTGCAGCCTATTGGCAGGCTGACTCGCGGAGGGAATTTCCGAACGTCATCTAAGCGCGTCCGACGCCTCGTGCGCCTCCTGGAGCGGCCCGTGCAGCCGGCGCAATGGGCGTGTCAGGGAGTCGCCAAGGCGATCTTGGACTGGCTGTCGAGGCGCTCGCAGCGAGCCTGTCAATCCTCCTCCTCCTCCTCCTCTTCCTCCTCTTCTTCCTCCTCCTCCTGCCGAACATCTGTGCGGCAGCCCATCCCCCCCCCCTTCCGGTAATGTGCCCTACGTCACGGTCGCTTCTCGTGGCAGCTTGGGTATCCAGGTGGCCTGGTTTTTACTGCCACCGGTCACGCACGTGGCGCCACGGGGTGCCCTAATGTAATGGGCAAGTGGGCGGATGACGGCTAGGACAGCGCTCGCATGTTCGACCTGTCTACGTGCACTCCCGCTCCAGCCTGGTTCCTGGTCCCAGTCCTTCTCGCCATGCTCCGTACCAGGAGGGGGAGGGGCCGAATATTTAGCACAGCTCCGGGCGTTTTTTTGCAATCAGAAGCGAGGTGTTGCCGGCGTTTTTGAATAAGCGCCCATATAGGAAATTCAAGAGCAGTAACGACTCTACCCCCCGCAACCCCGCTTTCGGTGCTCGCATTCACACGCAGACCGTTGCCCGCAAAAGCGGGCATGTTTGTTCGAAACGGTTTGCTTTCGCCCAAATCGAGGGCCCCGAGCCTTGAAGCTGGGGCCTGGGGCTATGTCCCGCTTTGGTACCTCGTAAGGTCTAGGCCTCCTGGATGGGGTCGCATTAGATGGGGCTGGTGGGACGCGCCGCATCGCCGATACGTCGGCGATGCGGATCGATGTGGAGCCCAATTTTCTCCGCGCCGGTGTCGCCAATGCACCGCCCACGTCTGCAATGCATCGACGATGCATCGGCGATGCGGCCCGATCCTTCGACCCAATTCCCAAACCCCACTTGGGAGTATTGTCTCTCTCTCTCTCTCTCTCTTTAGATATGTATGTATACTTATATATATATAGATTATACTGGGGCTTTGTTCGGAAGCCACTGTGTTTTGTTAGGTCCGCCCGCTGGAGGAACTTAGCTGGCGTCGGACCTACGCCGTTGATGCCGCGGCTGGGCCCGGTTCGGAGCAAGCATCTGTCGGGATGCTGCCAACGTGGATCCGGGGCCACCTCCGGGGCGGACCTTCGTGGGGCGCGCAGTGTCAGTTGCGAGCTCCGGGGGGGGGGGGGGTCTGGGACGGTCGCGCCGCTGATGTCAGGTTACCAGCCGCGAGCCTCGACGGAGCAGCAGAACAAAGGTCTGACAGTCGAGGCGGTCAACGCACTGCCATGGAGAAGCGCCCCCAGAGGATCTCCTGACCTCGCGGTAGGCTGCTTGCCAGCGTAAGCGCGCCGCCAAAATGGATTAGACGTCTGCCTTCAAATTTCCTCGCCCGTAATGTCAGGGCCCCCCTATGTGCAGTAAAGATACAGACCCCCCAAGGACTTTCAAAGTATTAGTCAGGGGGAGCGATGGGGGTTGGATAGGCATAAGGGGGGGATACATCAATCCCCAGTCGCCCATTGATCGCCGATGGGGGCTCTATATAGCCCCGATCTGCCCAGGGACGTGCGGGTTCACTATCGGGGCCCTATCGCCGATCCATCGGCGACGTACCGCCGATTCCAGGTCGATGTGTCCCCTCTTTGCCAGTCCCCCCTCATCGTTGCCCCTCGAGCGGGCAGGCCCAGGGTCGGGTGAGGGCCGGTCGAGACAGCGGCTGCTCTCCCATCGTTGCCCCTCATCGTTGCCCTTTGCCAGTTTCCCCTGGTCGTTGCCCCTCGGTCGGAGACTGATCAGCCTCCTGACCTGACACGCCGATGAGCGCATCGGCCGTCTCCGCTTCGCGAGAGGGCGTCGCGGCCGTCATTTTTGCGGGTCCGGGGCCGTCGGTCTCGGTCCTCGGCCGTTCTCACTAAAAGGGAGGTCTGCCAAAGGGAGGTCTGTCCACCGCCGAGTCGCCGCGAGGGCCCGTCGAGACGGCGGCTGCTCTCCCCGGCGTGGTGTCTGTGCACCTCTCGGGCCTCCGGGGAGGCCCTTCGTCGCCACGGCCCAGTCCGCTGCAAGGAACGAGCCGGGCACGGGCTCCAGGAGGCGTCGGCCAGAACAGCGATAACGACAGCGCGGTAGCGGTGACGATGACAGCGATAACGGCAGCGATAACGATGACGACGATGACGATAATGACATAAACGGTGACAGCGACAACGGCCACGACGATAGCGATGACGATAGCAGCGACTCGGGTCTAAACCCCTATTGGTGGGGCCCCAGTCCTTCAAGAAGGCCGCGAGCCAATCAGTAGTTGCCAACTGTTTGGGGGGGGTCTAAAGACCCTCGAGGTCTAGCGGGAGAGCCGCCGTTGTTTCAATTGGCCCTCCGAGCTAAGTTCGGGCGCGGCCAGGACTGGGGCTTCGTTTCAGAGCTTTCCAGAACGATCCAATGGGTTTTCCGGCGCGCTGTGGGAGAGCCGCGGCCTCTTTATTTCCGATGACTGGGGTAGAATACAAGGTGCGTCCCGCCCCCTTGCGTGGCCACGTGACGCACAAGAAGTATATTCGTGCACGCCCCTGCCGCTTGCAGTGCCAGAGCAGAGCATGACATGAGTTTTGTTGGTTCTCCTCTGGCGCGCAGCGGCCGTTCCCCGGGACAAGTCCCCCCTCCCACCGCCCGGGGGCCACGGTGACGCTCGTATACGAAGGGGGGTGGGGCCAAGACCCGACCCCGCATGCTGGTTCTCGCGCGCATCGTTTGGCGATCACAGGCGCTCCCGCCCCGAGGTGCCCCCGCCCGGCCAAGCGGTACCCTTAATTACCCGGCCCCCCCCCACCCACCCATCCCCGGTATCAACCATTGCCCTCCACACTTTGATCGTCGGGTGGGTGTAAGTGCGGTAAGAGCGTTGTATATCCGATGAATTCGTTTCAACGAAGATGTATGTAGGTTCATGCTAGTTGACCTCACATATTCAACATATATAAAATATCGAACTTCGCATTCATCTACTTAACGTTTTGTTAGATAAGAATATTCAACAACATACCATACATACTACTCACAGAACCATCCATCTTATCAACTGAGCTATCGGGTACCACTGCCAAGATATATCGATACCTACACCTCAACATACCCAACTTAGTAGCTAAGTCAGCTAAGTCGATGTGGGCTGTCCGATTCGGTTAACCCGAAATTTGCATAACTTTCTATGTTTTGCATGTTTGTTCTTGATATTGCTATGTTTCGGGAAAAAACCACAAAAAACGTTTTAACAACTACAACACAACAGATTTTCAGGACAGGGCGCCGCAGGTCGACGCGCCGAGCCGCCCTCAGGACGCCTGCGGGGCGCGGAGGGGAAGGGGGGAGAGGGAGAGGGGGGGGATCAACTATTCTTCAAACTGCCTCCCCTCGGCGGCCATCACCGCCTCCCCTCTCCTCTCCTCATTGTCGGCGGCCAGCCCGCCCCCGCTCCCTCCTGCCGCCTTCCCTCCCCGAGCCCGCCTTCCTTCTTCGGCGGCATATCCGCCCCTCCCTCCTGCACCTCTCTATCGAAGGGCGGCGCACCCGCCAGCGGCATATCCGCTCTCGCATGCGCTCGTTTTTTTTCCTTTTTCACGTGATGCCGAGCACATAGCCATCGTCCTGTAGTCGCCGATAAGCCGCCCAGGCTGGCGGGATCAGCTCGGCGGGCATCACGGCGACGTCGCCGCGCGGCCGCCACAGGGACGCGCCTGGGCATGGCGCGCGCACCCATACCAGGGTCTCCACCAGCAGGTAGCTGGCGGCGCCAGCCTGCGCGCAGCAATGCACGATGTACGCCTCGCCGTCGCCCAGGAGAAAATCCTGAGGGCAGCAGCGCCTCGATTTTTGGGGGGGCACACGCATGTGCACCCCTAAATACCAAGGTTGGTTGCGCCGTCTGTCCTGGCTGCCGTACATCAGGCCGTCGATGGACGCCTCTCTGCTGGTCCACGTTTCAGCCCTGCGGAGGGGTTCCTCCTCCTCCTCCTCCTCCTCCTCCTCCTCCTCCTCCTCCTGGCGGCGAGCCGCCTCGGCGGCAAACCGCTTTCCCCTCTCCCAGCCCATCTTCCTCCACAAAGGGCATGCAAGGTTGCGCCCCGAGTGCCCGAACGTACTGTCCAGCTCTGGCGTGCGCCACGCTTTGGCGCGGGAGCGCGGCGC